ATCTTCAGGTCACATAATTGTCTTGTGATTGATGGTGTGACTTATTACAAACTATTAAAACAGTATAATCTTGTTAAAATTAAACCCTATTTTTAAAAGTAGAATTCCATGGACAAAATGCAAAGATATAGACAAAGTTTCAATTTCAGTACATAAATCATCAACCAAAAAGCTTTTGATTTATTTTAAGTACTGGAAAGTATTAACTGATTTGTTTAAGTGTTTATGCCAAGATATGTTTGTCACGAGTAGAAGCATATCGTCTCAATAATGAAATTATCAGAACTTAAATTTTTGAAAACACTTATTTCCGGAGTTTATAGTCATTTACTGTCTGCATATTGATCCTATTTGTTCTTTATGTGAAATCATATGATACTATTTTTATGACAAGTAATAGTAAATGATAAAAATACACAGTGAGCCTTGACAAATATATCTAAGCACATCAAGACATTCGACAGAACATGTTTTTAATATTCAAGTTCAAACGTGAATGGATACTGAGCGGTGGAAAAATTTAGTAAAAAATGTTATTAGTTCGAAAACATATCACACGAAGAAACGGATGCCTTTATATATACAAATACAAAATATTTAGAACACGAGATATGTGCCGTATATTTAAGCTTATCTTTTCATCTGTTCACTACGGTTTTACTATACATCAACGTGTCGTGTCCCATAAGACGGAAATTCATAACTCCTACGACGCTGTACAATGTAAATAAATACTGTTCACATTTATATTAGTCAAATGTTATTACTCATATCCAAGTTAAATAAGAAATACACTGTTGTTTTTAATTTTGTCTATTGTTTTTTTTGCCATCATTCCATCCGCATTTCTTCTACTTCAGCCTTGATTTTGGCTGAAGCTTTTTTTATAGTATTGATTTGTTCCCTATATGATTTGTTTTCTTCCTTTTGATAATCACATTTATGAATATAGATTCCACCACTGCAACAACTGTGTTACTATATTTTTCCACTCGAGACAGTTGAATTTTAATATCTAAAGCCCTAGGCTTGCCGAGCCTTTTAGATAATTACATTTTAACTGTTGAGAGTGGAGAAATATCGTAATACACGAGTTATACTGGTGGAATCTGTTTCTCTGATGATTTTTATCCTTCCTTTTCAAAGATTTGCAGAAAGTTGTGTTCTTTATATGTGACGTCATCAGACAGTGTCGCCTTTTTTCATGACGTCACAATATGAAATTTAGACGAAAGCAAGAAAATTTGACGTCATAATTAAATCAACCAATCATTTGTCGAGAACAATCATTTCACTACACTACAAACCAGTAAAAGTCTGAAATGGCCTATATCTGTACTCGACTGTACTGATTTTTACTCGACCAGTCTGAATTGGTCTGAATTTTACTCGACATTACTCGACCCCAGTCTTAACCATACTCGACTGTACTGATTTGTACTTGACCCTTATCTTTGCCATTGAAAATAGTCTGAACTATTACTCGACCAGTCTGAAACAGTCTTAACCCATTCTCGACCTGAACTCGACCTATTTTTTTCAGTCTAAACCATACTCGACCAAAGGTCTGAACAATACTCGACCAGTCTGAACCATACTTGACCAAATAACCTCTACTTTTTCCAAATTTTAACTGTTAAAATAAATTTCTTTTTAACTGACATGACAACAGCTACAATAAAATAAAGATATATTATAAAAACAGATTTTTACATTGTTACATGATTCTTCGATTTATCGAATAGAGATAGTTAAATCAAATTATCTTATATAATAATTTAATTATATTAATTTTAAAGTTTTAGAGTTTCGTTAAAAAAAATATTTTCTTTTACTTAAAAACCACACCTATACTGAGGGTAATTAAACCTTATTAAGGTGCTTCTTGTTTGGCATGTGTCTTTTTTTTAAAATTAATTTTCCTAAATTCCTAAATAAAAACTACATAGGTTTCATGGTTACATACAAAAAATGTACAATAGTTATATAATTATATTTTTAATGAGGTAACAACAGCCAACAAAATCACTGAAATTGTTTAACCTTATTTTAGAAATATATCTATTATTATATTTTGGGATATATTATATACAATATGTATCAAAAAGGGATAAAAATTAAAGAAATTAATAAAATTGTTCTTCTGATTAGTGGTGAAGTATAAAGTAATACCTCCTGCTTGGGGCAAACTCATGAAAAAGATCACACCTGGTCAGAGAGTATTAAATTCTAAATAACATTCATTCAAAATTGCAACATCCTGTGAAACTTAAATCGCAAGGCCTTTTGAATTCACTAGATAAGTAATACACGAGTTTAAGAAAAATAGGGCTTTCTTTTTACCTGTAAAACACACATGTACTGCGGTAATTAAACCTTATTAAAGTGCTTCTTGTATGCCATGTGTTTAATTTTGACAAAAATTATTTAAATTTAATTGAAATAAATTTTTACTGTATATTTTAAAAAACATTTCCTTTTTTAAAAGTTTATCATAGGATTACTATGGAAGTTCTATTATCATGATTATATTCAATTCTTGGTTTAACAAAACGAAGGTGTCATTTTTTAAATTTATTAAGTTGCTTTTTATGCTATTATATATATATTTTAATAAAAAAAAATTTCACTGCATTATTAACTAAACTCAACTTACACCATAAGTCATACGAGGCTTAAGTTAATGGTGAAAATTGTCCAGTAACCATAAAATATATCTGAAACATTCAAAAAATTTTTAATAACATTGAAAATATTAGTCACAGTTCAGTTTTGAGATTATTTGATCAGCTTGTTTTATTTTTATTTTAAAGGTGATATATATGTATGTATATAAGTGTTGATGAATATGGTGATGAAGTTATATTATGTTTATTGTGAAATTTTGGTTTCAATGCTATATTGAATACATTTTTAATTTCAAATTTTTGTTCAAATTTCTAGCCAGGGGAAATAGCTGTTGTTAAAAACAGTTCCTAAATTGATGAAATACAATAGATAGATACAAAAAATAGGTCTAGATTGGTTAAGACTTGGTTGAGTATGGTTCAGACTAGGTCGAGTATGGTTCAGACTAGGTCGAGTATGGTTCAGACAAGGTCGAGCATGGTTCAGACTAGGTCGAGCATGGTTCAGACGCATATAAAATGGTTAAGTACTGGTCGAGTACAAGTTCAGACTGTTAAGTATGGTTCAGACTACAGTCGAGTATTATCAAGTAAATTTCAGACCAATTCAGACTGGTCGAGTAAAAAGCAGTACAGTCGAGTACAGATATAGGCCATTTCAGACTTTTACTGGTTTGTAGTGCTAGTGAAGAGGAAGATTTTTTACGATCGGTTAGGAAATGTGAAATAAGAAAAAAAAATAGAGAAATTCATTTTATCATCGTTCGCAGTATCGTGAACATTGCTTGTTTTACTCTTTTCTACATATTTTAAATACTTGTTTCATTCATAAAAGAAAACATTTAATATATACATATGGGCTAATTGTCCGATTTGAAAAAAACAACTCATGGTTTAATTCGAATATACAAACCATGTTTAGCAGTGCAATCACAAAACCTCTAATCCATGATTCTTAAACAGGTACAACTGTGAGAGTGTAAACTTATTTTCTGGATTGCTTAAAAAATAAAGAGACCCTAGGTATTCGACCTCTGCTTGTAAGTTGCTTACATACATAAGGTATTGCTTTGTTTTCTTGAGAAAAAAAAGAATATTTTCAAACTAAGACAGAAAGATATAAGTGTACAACGTTGATCCAAAACAAAACTAGAATGAATACTTTGAAAGGTGAGCGTCTTTTACCGTCCATGTTGTCTCATTGACGTATATATAACATTTCCTTTTAATAATCATGATAATTAAACCAAACACCCTATAAAAATCAACGATAATGATTAAAGGGCACACGTGCTATCTAGAGTTCTGCTTATTAAAGTTCGCAAAATATGTTTCTCGTGAGTCTAAGTGAAAGTACAGTGTACAATTATTTAATCCATGACGATAATAGTTAAATGTATTCAATGTTGATTGCAGTTGTTCTTGGGGAATGAAAATGTGGCATACTTAACATGGTCGAAGAAAAGTAGTGAACACAGTGATCAAACAAATACAAAGATGAATTGACAAACATTAATCCATAAAACTCTACAATGAAAACTTTCAAACATTGAATAACACCAATTGCACGGAACGAATGGGAGTAAAGTTACGTAGCCAGGAAGGGCAATCAATTCCTACTCAAAAGATGGCATCCGTCGTTTGATTCATTGCAAGTATTCGGTGCTGTGACTATTTGGACGAAAAAGATCAACGAACCAAGATTTGACTTTTTACTAAGCAAATGGAATATAGATGTTATTTATAGATGTAATCAGGACTGACACTGATATTACATGATGATCAACAAAATTATTGACTCCACCTTAAAAGTGTTATGAACTATTGGTTCAATAGCTTCTTTTAAAATTGTAATCCTAGTTTCTCTATTTTTTTCTCACTATTTTCACATTTCCCAAGCGATTGTGAAAAAAAAACAATGTTCTCCTCACCAGTGAAATATCTGTTCTCGGTAAATGATTGGTCGAAAATTAATTATGACGTCACAATTTCTTAGTTTCTTCTGAATGTTCTATATTGTGGCGACCATGCCAGATGACGTCAAATATATAAAAAAAAAAAAAAAAAAAAAAAACATTTTGCAAATCTCTGAAAAAAAGGACAATACTCATTAGAGAAAACATTTCACCATTATAACTCGTTTATTACGTTATTTCTTCACTCTCAACAGTTGCATCTTAATTATTTAAAAAGCTCGACTGGCCTCGTGCTTTATAGATTAAAATTCAACTGTCTCAAGTAGAGAAATATCGTAACACACTTGTTGCAGTGGTGGAATCTATATTTCATATGAAGTGAAACGTGATAGAAAAAAAAAAATTCTACTGTTAATATTAATTGTGATATTCTATGTTGTCCATTCTTTATTTTCAGTCATTTGACGATGAAAAGCAATTATGTAAGACATCAATTGATTGGAGAAAAAACAAAAATTGTGAACAAGAGCCTCAATATGAAGCGATTATGATACAACTCCAGGAAGCAAACAAAGAGGCAGAACATACATGTGATTTCATTTGTAGAAGTAGTAAAATAATGTGTCATACAGGTAAATAACTTATTAATGTGTGTCCCTGCATGTGATTTTAATTTGTCTTGTTAACGTATTGTCTTCTTGATTTTTCTCAACCTTTAACACAACTGTTGTGATGAATCTAACAATTATATGTTACATTGGAATTACTCCTAGTATATTACTCTGTATTATATTTATATTTGCATCAATTGTTATTGGCTTTGAACATTTGAACTAGCTTTTAGTTACTGCGGGTCCTCTCAGATTTTGTGCTTCTGACATTTGTTTTTGTGCATTATCGATCTGATGAGATAAGCCACTATTTTTCCTAGTGTTTTTCTTATGGTGTGCTTTTACACCAATGACCAAAATTAGGCGAGGTTGAACGCTGTCAAACATGTTAAACCACGCCACATTTTGTATGTGCCTGTCCCAAGTCAGGAGGTATGTAGTTGTCGTTTGTTGTTGAATATCATAGTTATGTTTAGTTTATTATTTTTTCATAAATCAGGCCTTTAATTTCATTTAGAGCATGCTAAATAGAAATGCTAACCTTTACGTCATTTGATCTCTGCTGGAGAGTTGTTTCATTGACAATCATATCACATCTTGTTTATCTTATATAGATACACATATCATGTTTTAGATAAGGATGGAATATACTTCAAAAGCATCCGCTTTGACTCAAATGAAACAAATATCTGAAGAACGACACGAGAAGGATGATTGGTTTTTAATTGTTGCCATAGTTAAGCGCAAGCAGATCGTATTTTTTAACTAACAATCGGCGTTTGTATGGAAACCAACTGTGTTCTTTTTCTTGCTGTCTTGTTTTTTTTTATTCATTAAAGGCCTGCATTAAACATGAGAATCACGGGACAAAGCATTAACAAACTATTTCATCAATTAATATCTGAGCAGTGAAACAGAAAGGATTGTAAAATAAGAACGCGACTCAATGTTGTTGATTCAATTTGTAAAGTTAATCTGTTTTCGTCCTTTAATTATGTGTAATCAAACAACCATCAAATGTTTTAATGAATTAATTTTGCATTGTTCTCAACATATGTTTCAAAGTGTTTAAAAATTGTGACAAACTATTGCAATCTCTTTCATCTTGTATACCTAATTAACCATACCACTGATATTTGTCAATGTCTGAGATAATTGTGTTTTGATCGAACAATAGACTGTATTGCCTTGCTTGATGGACCTATCTGATAATGCTTCTAGGCTTTTATAAGGTGCCGGGAAAATCGATACTCACAAATTATATTATAACGCTAACTAAAAAAATTATAGTTTTATACATTCCAATTACAAAATCATTTCAGGCAACCGTCAAAAAATACAATTCATCACACATTGGTTCATTTGCACGTCTTTTATAATTGTGCATATACAAACATATGTTATTGAACACAAGTAGAAAAGTTTGTTTATTATATATGTGTGTATCTGAGGGCGCCGCTTTTCTATATTCCTCAGTTGCAATGAACTGTATATATGAAAAAAGTAAACTAAAAAAAAAAACTTAAAGCTCAATCCCACCAAATGAATGGAAAACAGCTGTCACATTCCCGAACTGGTACATGCATTTCCTTACGTAGAAAAAAAATGGATTAAACCTGGTTCTAAAACTAGATATGAGATGATAACTCATTGCAACAAGACTATAGCAATTGTTTATGATCAGTCCCTTGGATATAAAATGTCAATCTACTTCATAAATCTTTCGGAGGTTTTATATAAAGTGAGCCTCGCCGTGCTTTCCTTCTGCTGTATAGCGATTATAGAAACCGCTGTATATGCCGCTACATCCCGGAAATTGCTATTTTTGTATCATGTACATGCCATTAGGTACCTATTATATGTTCAGTTGTATGATGTCTAGCTATTGTCTTTATAAAACAAGGATGTCTGATGAGAATATCAATTCGACAAAAATCAAATAAAATTCAATTGAATAGAAAAGGCAACTAAAGGTCATAATACAGCCTTTAACGAGGAACAAAACACACATCGTATAGTCAACTAAAAAGTGCCTGACATAATTAAATTTGAAACAATTCAAACGATAAAAAAACAACTAACTAATTTATGACAGACCAATCAACGAAAAACAAATATGACAGACAGCAATTAACAACAACCACTGAATTAAAGACTCCTTACTTTCGACGAGCACATACCTTATGGTACTAGAGTAAACAAGCGTTTGAGTACTCTGTCGTAACCTGGGAGTGGTGTAATGAAATGGTTGTTAGTATAAGTCGATCCGATGCACTTGGCATGGACCGTACAGAGAATACCAAACTGATATTTGACTTAAATTTCAATTTGTTAAATATATATACATATTGCAAACGTTTATTTTGATCTACAATTATATTTATACAGTCAAAATATATACCTATAATTATTATCAGATTAGAAAATATGTATCATTTTGTCAATATATACCATACTCTGCTGGATGTTAACATTATTATTATTTTTTGTAGTATTTGTGACAGTAATTGTTGGTTTATCTATGACCTTACCGATAACCATGATGTCAGTAGGTAGGTACACCGACCCAATAACAATATAGATTTTGAATAACTGAAAATTTGTAATCAGGTAATATATCCAGTTATGATTGTTTTCTCTAAAAACGTATTCACCAAATGTAATTGGAATCCTTGTATTGTACAATGTGTCTTGCAATTCATCGCAAGATAATGGCAATTACCATACGCATGACGGTTAACCGTAATCTTAAACTGTTGTATATAAATATTACCAAGCATGAGAACGGAACAAAAATGGTTTTAGCTGTTTGCAAAACGTCCAGGGACAAATATTTCATGCAGATTCGAGACCAAAACGTATTCAAACATTTTGAAATATTTCGAAAAAAAGATTCTGAAAAAATGACTCCTAGAAATAGGCCGGATTGAGTGGGGTTTGGAGCGCGATCTATTACTACTGTCGAATCATAGTATGTTTGATAGTGACAGACACATGCACATCAGCATGCAGCAGATTATCAAAGGACAAAACAGATAAGTGTTTCAATTGTTTTAACGAGCAAAAAGCGTCGAATGTAATGCTCCTCTTACAGACCTACAGCTTTGTGTATTTATACATCCCGCACAGCTAACCAACCGCACCCACAGAATGGGTTCTACATGAGGACGGACGACGTCCAATTTGCCTATTCTCTGTGCTATTGTAAACTATTGGTGTAACTTGCTAAAGAGAAAACAGAGAACATGTCAAATTTAAAAGTTAATATAAAATTATAAAGAATGCATAAACTAACGTTGAAGTATTTTCCAATCACTTATCCATGTTAGCCGAACCATTTAACAACAAGTCAAAGTATTGTTCATTAATAGTGAAAACAAAGAATAGGAGAACACTTATATGCACTAAAGTAAGAGCGGCTTTTTAAAGAAATATACAATATTATCGTATGAAAACCGTTATTATAAAACAAAGTAGACCATATTCTTCAGATGTTCATAGGTCATTAACCTGTCGGATTTCAGTTTTTGTATTTTTGAATTGATTCTTAGAATGTCAAATTAGGGCTTGGAACTTCTAACATGTACTACAAAACATCAAAATCTTTCAAATAGCCGCAATTGGGGATCATGTTGTTAATATCCAGATATGAGCTACAACAGCTTTACCTTAACAAATAATCTGCTACAAAATGTTTTTTACAAAGATGCCAATGTGTCCAGTTTAGCATGAATGGAATAACAACTGCCTAGTTTTTCAATTGCAAATTGAAGATTAAATGCAAAAGTGATCCTTTCTGTCCGCACTCAAAAAGTAATATCACAAAGATACTTAACTTCGAGGAAATTCAATCGGAAAGTCCCTAATCACACGGCAAAATCAAATAACAAAACACATCAAACGAATGGACAACAACTGTCATATTCCTGACTTGGTACAGGCATTTTCAAATGTAGAAAATGGTGGATTGAACCTGGTTTTATAGCGCTAAAACTCTCACTTGTACGACAGTCTTATCAAATTCCGCATACTTGATAAACAACTTGTAACTCATTAAGATGTTATCGAAAAAGGAGTACGGTTAATTCATGTCAACTTTTGTATAATTGTAATTGTGACATCTATTTCCATATATGCACACGGTATACATGTGCATCTGCTAGTTTGCATCAATATAGTTGATCAATATATATTTGTATCTTCTTTTTTACATTGTAAGGTGTGAAATATTTGAATGATTGTCCAAAGCAGAAGAAAGTCCCAGTCTACCTATTAGTTGGTGGTTGCTTTGGAATGTTAAAGGTGCTTGGAACAATATGGCGGAACATACGATACCGTCGCTATGACGACATGGATAGCTTCTATGATGGCCATGGAGGTGATGGTGCCTTTGCAGCAAAAACATATCGCATGATGGATATGATAATATCAACTTTCTTATTGGCATGGCTGATAGCTGGTACATATTGGGTATTTAAAATATGGGAGCCACATTATAAACAGTTGCTACATGAACCAAGTAATTGGTGTGACAAGCACGTGTACATGTTTGCTGTATATCAGATAATTGGTTGCTATGCCTTTCTAGCCTTTTTATTATTAACAGTGTGTGTATTGGCTTCGTGTTACAAATTTACAAATGTGTTTGATCATTCATGATACCAGCGAATTCATACGTCTGCATTTGTACTATATATTTATAGAATTGCATTATGTTATACATGGTTGTGTCCAATTTTACGCTTTAGTAATTAGCGCATATTGTTATTATATCAAAAACAAGAATGTTTACTTCTTCCTCTGTATTGAAACTTATTTTTGCAACTATTTGCATTTTTAGATACAGTTAAGAAGGAATATGTTTGTTATGCAAATACAGACAATCTCTATCAAATATGAACAGATCGAGTACACAAAAGACATATTATTATTGTTGTATCTCCCGGAATTAAATCTTTTAAGGTGGATTTTTAAAATTACTTTAACAACTACTTAAATCTTGGTCTTTAAGCTTAAACCGTTAATCTAGCGTTTTGTTTGGTTTACTATATCATAAATGATTAAATACTCATCGTGTGTGGCATAGCAAAATAGAAAACAGGTTTTATAGTATCTATATCCTGTAAGTTGACTGGAACTTAGTTCTGAAATTAACGAGGTTTTGAAATTATAAATGGTGCTTTCGTAGTTATGTCAAGTACAATTTCAGTGAAACATTTACAAATATTTTGTGTATGGTTTTCAGACGAGTCAATATTTTGTGCATGTTTTTTTTTATACAATGGTATGCGTGTAAATATGAATGACACATGTTATGTTTTGTACAATGCTTAGATATATATGTGATAGATCTTTTGCCTGGCATTTGAGTGTGTTATTCTGACCAGTTTGTTTTTGCAATTTTATAGCCCGTGTTTTATGAAACAGCGGGGTTAACACACTGCACTCAAGCAACTGTACTTCTCAAATACATACTCATGCTCTTCAGTTTTGTCTGCTATCATATATTTCATAAGCACACTAAGTTTGTATTTTATAAACGTTCAATCCAAAAATGCATCTTTTGTGTACCAATGAACATTAACACATTTACAACAAATCAATGTATAAAAATGAAATACACACCTTATACGTATTACATATATGGAAATGAGATCCTTCAGTTTGCTATTGAGTTGTTTTATTTATACGTCTGTTTTCATTTAATAAAAAAGAAAATATTTTGTAAGTGTTTATTTGTAGCCAGTACATGTAAAGAAATGAGGTCTTCATGCTTTTGAGTTTGTTCGAAACAACACGGATACTCTAACTAACAAACAAAAACTCATAAGAAATACCAAAATTAAATGTTGTCTTCACAAAACTGACTAGTTTCGCTCACACAAAAACGAATGTAAGATAAAATCAAAGACTTAGTTGAAGAGCAATGTAAACAAAAAATGTCGGAAAGTTGTTACAAATACGACAAACAATACACTTAACGTTATACATTGTAAATAACATGTCAATTTTGATGTTTGTAATTGTCTTCCTGATTATAGATATTAAACAAATATTACCTTACAACGTATTTCATCTCTAAAATTTATTACTTAAGAATGTACATACAAGTTGTGGATGTGCCATACAAATGACAGTTTTTCTAGTAACGCTTCACTTCATATCATGTCACAATTAAACTCTTGGAAGTTGACAAAAATAGTCAAAATAATTATCCTTACTCTCCAGTTTAGTATTCACGCCCACCTAGTAGAACTTTTGTTTGTTTTACATTTAGTTTGGTTAGAAATTAACATGGATTTTGTTGAATGGTTGCATACTGTTTCACTTCCATGCATACAGCTAATACGGCTATACCCAAATGACTGTATGGTCACCCTGTATGTATTCTATTTATTAAGCTTGGATATTAGTTTTTAAAAAATGCATTAATTATGTTAAATAAAGATTATATTAACAGTTAATGGGGGTTTAACTTGGCTTTGTGAGGTAAATCAGTAATGTGTTTTTGATAAACAGCTTCATCAAAACATGTACGGAAAGGTTTAACGGTTACTAAGATGCAAAAACAATGAGTTTTTTTTTCATGAGTCGGTTGACACTAGAGTACACGTAATTTTTATCCCTTTTCACACGTTATCCTTCATAATTGGTTTATTTCATATTAATTATATATAAATAAACAAAGCATTAAACTATTCCAAAGCGTATTTGAACACATAAGTAAACATGGTCTTAAAGCTAATTTACACCTAAAAATTGAGAATGTTAATGTCTATGTCGTTAATTTCCATTTTGCAAGTAATCTGAATACAAATGATATTCAAGTTTTATACGTGAACAGGTTGATCATCATCTTAATTCATTTGATTTAATCTTAGATATTTGCTTTCCGTCCGTACTCAGGTCATTTACAAAAACTAGTATTCACGTTATATATTTCATTTAGTTTTTCGTTTAACATTTGATTCTGGGAGAATAACAAAATCATTCAAATGACCATATGAAAGAGTTTAAATTCATTAGTCACGTCCGCAATGGTTTTAGATATGACAACAACATTTAAAATGAATGTACTTGCGAATCCTTTAAAAAACACATTTGACGTAAATATTTTGTTCGACTCTCCATTATTTTTCAGGAATTAAATAACAAGTTCTGGAAACAGAAATGATCAAAGTGGCGTATTCGGTATATTTTATTTTAATATTCGTTGTTAAAATTTGAATATTACCAATGAATAGAATGTAAGGGGTATGGATAACACTTGAATAAACCTCTGCTAAATATTGAGCGCAGTTTATAATCAATTTTCGACAGAAACGCGTAACATAACAAAATTCATTGAGAGTTGTTGGTGTGTGTCCAGTGGCAAATATTATATTTTTATCGGTAGTTGCACATTTTACAATTATATCGACAGTGCAAATGAAGGAGTTAATCTTGAAACGAATGATTAAATGAAATTAGAAATTAGTTTTCACTGAAACATACTTTTTTAAACACTTTTGTTTCCTATCTTAGAATAAGGTAGAATGAAAAATACTTTCATTTTGCTTGGCTTGCTATTTCAGACTTATCTAAATAATGCATATAATGTTTGTTAGTTGTAATAATCAAAGGGAAAGAAACAAAACGGGTTATGCATGGAACACTGTTTTCTGGTTGAATTCATTTCATCTAATACAATGATTTGAAAGATAGAAATACATTTTGTTTCCGATATAACTTATAATCGAGCACATCCTTATTAACTAAATAACCTACACTTAAATGATACATATCTGGACATTCATTCTATTTCTACTATTTAATTTACTAAGTTAACATATAAATCCTGGTGAATTGTATTCAATATCTTTTTAAAATAATTGACCTACGTTCATAAAAACTTCGTTAAGTGAATAGATTGTCAACTTGACCTTAGCATTTTACCTGCGGTTTATTGGGTACATAACACGGGATAAATTACCAAAAGAAAACTATTGCAATATGAAATTCTTTAAAATATTATACTCCAAAGATTCATTTTTTTTAAATATTAAAGGTGTATTCTAAACAGTCAAAAGTTCGCTTCGTTATTTCCCAGGAATGAACATTTATGTGCGTATCACAGGATAAAAATTTACAGAAGTATAAACAACATCATATTATAGTCTTTTAAATAACCAAACATGGCAGGACACACATAAATCAAATGTTGTTTTTTTTTTTTTATTTATTCAACAAACATTTGTGAATAGATTTACCCGTCGTTTTGGCCGATAAAAATATCACTGTTTTGCATAACCTTATCAAAAACAATTTTTTCTTGTTACGCTTGCTTCTTTTTCCAACTATTACGAACAATGACTTCCAAATATTTTGCCATTTGATAAGGGACTTTCCGATTTGGATTTTTCCTTGGAGTTTGGTATTTTTGTTTATTTCACTACATTCCACCTGAACGTCCCTTATCCGCCTTGGTATTATAAAATTACAAGTCATTTCACTTATAATACACGAAAACACATTTCCAAACTTTCAAAACATATAAAAAAAAACCAACAACAATATTGAGCCTAGTCTTTCCCTTAGTAAACCTTAAAAAAGTAACAACAGGCACATAACACAATACAAAACCATTAAGAAAAAGTATGAACATATCAATTAAAGACCCAAAGCACACTCTAACGAACATAGCACATCATATCTTAAGAAAAACTGGGAAGATGTACAATGATGTATAATGTTTAATACTTTTTTGCAGAAGATGGGCACAGAACATATAAAGTTTATTAAAAAGTATAACCACGCATGCGTGACTGAAATATGAAAGTCGAAAAAGTAACACATATATCTTTATTCTAATTCGTTTTTTTTATTTCTGTGATGTGGTTTCAATTGCATTATGATACAGCGAACCCTTTAATGCGTATCAAATATATTTAAAGATATTCAAAAGTACTGTATTTCAGATTTTCTCTGAACGTTTCGAATTCTTGGACTGTTCAATAAAAGAATTATAGAACAGTTTTGTTCAGTTATCATTGCATTTCAATCAATTGTACAACGACTTAGAAGGTCGTATATCGGGTCTTCTGTTGTTCCAATATTCGTATTGCTCTACGCAACTCAATCGTTCACATTGCCTATTTACTACTCAGTAACTCCAATAGATTCTAAATGTTGAACAACACAGTTATGCATATGCTTCCTATACTTCAATTAAATTTGATTGAGCATTCTAGCGTTAATATTACTGTTGAAATTCTACTTCTTTGTATAATCCCATTTAGAATTCTGTTAATTACATTTATGCTGCTGAGATGAAAATCCGTTTACAGAAATACGATCAGATTACAAAAGTTTTTCATGCCATTTTGTTATAAAATCTCTTTTGAACAATCAATGATAAAATAAGATTTAAACATGTTAATATGTTGAATTCATAATAATATTTTTTATATTATTCTTTAAAGAATGGATTCAAACTGCGTTTTATACCAGATTACCTGTAAACACAGTTTTGAATATTTATAGACATAAAATGTTCTGATCTGAAATGAATCGCGATTTTTATATTTCCGCTTTATTTGCTCAAGCTGTGCAATGTATGTTTGTACTTTAAATATCCTGGTGTGTATTGTCGTCTGTAAAAATTTGTTTTTTTTTCGTTAACACATAAACACATTTTTTGTTATCCTTTTAAATTTTCAATTATGTTCCTATAGTAAGGGGCATGACATTAATTGTTGCATTATGTAAACATATTCTTAATTTTTATCCTGTGATGCCACATATGGTATGTTTGATAATAAACATCACTAACATTGCCCCTGATT